TCACGCCTGTTTTCTGTGTGGTCGTGGTATTGCACCGGGCGAGCCGGCCCATTCGTGCGAAGATGTTAAAGCGGGCTCTACCACTGTTAATGGAAGCAATTCCGTGTTTCGTCTGATGAGTGTGGTGCTGGAGGCCTAATTTAAGTCCCTTTCTTTTTACCACCCTTTTCTTATAAGGAGAGGATGGGAAGGGGAAGTGGATTTGACGGTGGAGGAGATGCATAGAAAGGGGCAATATCCTCTATGTGCGTCTCCTTTTCCGTCGGATTAGGATGGGCAACGCATCTGCGATTGCGGATGTCTATGGGCAGCGGTCGCTTCGTCATTTTGGCGGATTCAGGTGGCCGCTTGCTCGTTTGCCACTTTATATTATAAAAAAGGCATTTTATTCCCCCGGGCGAAGTCGCGAACTACATCTATATAAAATGATGATAAGACTTCAGTGTTATCTATTGAAATGCGTTTTTATAGATTAAAATAACATTAGATTTCCTTATAACTGCTTATGTAAATAAATTGCTACCTTATCGTTTATCAGAGCTTTGTGTCAATAGAATATAGCAATTTTCTTTGAAGTCATATCTGAAGAGTCGATGTATATTTGTATGTTTGTTATTAACAGACGTTGGCTGCTATTTGTGCTTAGTGTTGTAGTGTTTATTTCATTACTAGCTTTCGTCTGCGACTTTGTCCGCGTGAAATTTAAAAAAAAAGTAAGTAGCCCATGAGTTCTTCCAGACCACCTTCTACGTCTATGTTAAATTTCATCAAGATCTATTCCGGAGGTTTTTTTTTATAATAAAAGCGGGCAAACCAGCGGCGTGAACACTAAGGTGGTCAACGACGCCCATGGACATCCGCAACACCAGAGGAACTACAGATGCGTTGCCGGTCTTTGAGGAAATGATAGGCTCGCTTATTGAAGGACTCATTTAAGCTACAAACTCTAACAAACATCCATCCATCTAAACTTTCGCATTTATAATATTAGTAATTCGTTTTTATCTATATCTATACATGTACTAAAATTGGAGTGTCTGTTTGTAATATCAAGAGAAAAATTCCAGATTTCGGGAAGATGATGTATTTGCGTTCACTGGAGAGTAGCTGACATAGACAGGCTTTATAATACTACCTTGTTATTTTAATACTGCGCGGGAAACAGCTAGTGGTGAAATAATTTTTGACATCTACCTAATAGTTTTTGAGTTATTTCAATACGTATAAAAAAACAACTCATTCCTCTTTATAATGTTGGTAACAGACCGTTTTATTAACTTGAATTAGCTTAGATATAATGTAACTTATCACTCAACTTGTGTGGCTTGTTATCACTATAATAATGCATTGCTCGTCTGCGCACGTCTCATGTCAATGATTGAAAAAATGCAAATTGTTAATAAATGCAAATTATACCATGTATATTCAAAACATAATTTTTTGTTAAAGTTTTTTCTTGGTATGATTCTTAAATAGTCAAAGGTAGGGTGCGCTTGGGCGACCGCCCAGGGCTCTACAGGTTGGATTATTACTGTTAGGACAACTTATTTACACGTCCGCCCAAAGGAGCGGAGCTTGTAGAAATGTTACTAACTTTAAAACCGTTACTGCGTAGGTCTTTGAGATAATGTGTGGTATTAAAAAAACCAAAAGTAGATAACCTATGTATTCTTCCAGACTACAACTTATGCCAAATTTAATCTAGATCCATTCAGTTTAGGCTAGAAACTAACAAATATCCATCCATCCATTCATCTAAACCTCCCAAGTATGCTTATAATGTTTGGTGAACGAAGTACGAACGTGTAGGTAGTTTGCACAATACTAGGAACTAGATTGTTGTTTTATTCAAAGTGTATAAAGTGATAACTTTGAACTCTGTAATAATTTAAAACAATTTATACATCATAAACATTGATATGTAACATTTTGCACACAATGTTTATATCGGTTTCAGTCGTATCTATTTATAGCAGACGAGGCGCGGCCGGCGAGCCATTACTGGACTCCATGTTTATTTATCCATGCGTTTGTATACAAGGTTCGCGGAATTTTGAAGGAGAGAAGTCAAGTTTGTTTAGCTATAAAATTACTACTTGCAGGCACATATTCTGATATATTTTCAAGTCTTAAACGATTCGTGAATTGTATTGAAAACTAGATGTTGCCCCCGACTTTGTCAACGCAATATTAAAATAAAAAATGGAGCCTATAAATATGCCCGTCTATGTCAGCTACCCTTCAGTGAAAGTGTGGTCGAAATCGGCCTAGCCGTTTCGGAGGTTACCCGGAACAAACGCGGCTTGCAGACAGACAGACAGACAAAAAAATTTTAACTGCAATCTTCCATCATCTTCCCAAAATATGGAATTTTTCTTATGAGATTACAAACTGACACTCCAATTTTATTATATGCAGAGATAAAATTTCTCGCCTATATCGTAAAAGTTGTCGGTGATTATTGTAAAACGTGCAAATGTTCGTAATTAGTATATTTATGGCACCAATCTGTCCGGTGTAATGCTGATGATATGACGATAATTGTTACGTGATAGTTACAATTTGTCGGGGAAGTCCCGCGTCGTGTTTTAAATCTTCAAACGATATTTTGCTATCTCTCTATTTTGGCTACTACGGATCGTATCTGCTTTTTATCAATTTAATAAGCCTACGTAGTTCGTATAGACTCGGAATTACCACATTCGTAATCGTTGCTCGGTTGCAGAAATCGCCTAAATGTATTGTTGTAAATAAAATATAATTTCAGGTGATGGGATCTGATATGAATCAGAGATTGAAGAACGTCGTGCAGCATCTCGTCAAATTCGAAAAGGCGCCCAAAGAAATAAAAGGGAGGCTGATCACTGAATGGTTCCGCGCGGGCGAGCAGCTGTTTGAGGAGTTCCACAGGCTGGGTGTCGCCGCTAGCTGGACGGCCAGCAGAGTCAAGGGTCAGCCCGAGGTGGCGGAGATCGTCACCAAGGTTACGAGGAACCAGGACTGGCTGCAGAGCTTCGTCACGATCTACCCCAACCTGAGGGTAGACTTGGAGGGCGCGGTGCCCGCGGTTAACGTGTGCAGGGTGCGCTCGGGCGTGGAGTTCTTGCTGCAAGGGTTCAAGGGCATCAGCTCCTCCTTCGACAAGGTGCTGAAGGACCTCGAGGAGCTGGGCGAGTTGGAGGAGCTTGACGAACAGCTGCGCATGTGGCTTACTACGGGACACCGCCCCGAGTTCTTCCCCGGCGACGTGCCCGCCG